CCCCCCCCCCCCCCCCCCCCCCGTGACCCTGAATAAGATAAGCGGTCACAGATCGATGGATGGATGGACAAAATGTTAAAATCTCTAAGCGTGTATTTACATATTTACAACAGACCTCATTTCAGGCATCGAACCAAAACACACATTCAATAATCCATTGACTTTGAGACGTGGGAAACCGGAAGTGCGAAGATGCTGACTCATTTCCTTCAGCGCTCTATTCAAATAATATATACTTTTTGTTTAAATAGAAAGCCTTGCCAGGCTTGCGAAAACACCCAAACTTAAAAAAGTGAAGTAGTATATGTCATGTTAAAAAATCTCCATTTTCTGGTTATAGAGGAGGTGAACACCGGTTATTGGCAGCTGTGTAGGATTCAACACACCCATAACAAACAGCTACTGTAGCCTCACTCCATCCTCTCAACTCCCCTCCTTGCTCCCTGGTCTCTTGCCCACCATGCCGTCCCCAGCTGTCTCTCCTCTGAAGGAGGGAGGACGAGAAGGGGCGGGTGGGGGGGGGGGGGGGGGGGGGGGGGGGGGGAGCCGGCCTGCTTGCCTGTTGTGTTCGCCCCCTTGATGTTACAGACTGCGGTGGCAGCCTCTTAGGCCTCCATAATCCAGCGGATTGTTGCATTAATGATTCTATGCTCCCTTCCAGTTGTAGTCGTGTTGCGTCACAATTTGAGGAAGCTATAAATAACGGGGAGAGAGAGAGAAAGAGAAAGAGAGAGGGTCGCGGGGGAGGGAGGGGAGACACAGGACCGTCACACACTCACACACATGGAACAACACAGATTGGCAGCTACTGGCTCCCTCAGCACCCAACACACAGCTTTGAGGTTTAGAGAGCGCAGTAATAATCACACTTACCTGACTCAGTCTTTGGCTTGCATGACAATGCTCTCACAGAAGGATTTGATGCATTGAAAAAAAACCGGCAGCGCAGCGGGGGCCACCGGCTGTGACAAGAAAACAAGTTAACGGAAATATTCAGACGTGTCACTCACCGAGACGTCAAACTCTGTTTTATTTTTCTCCTCCAGAATGAGAAGCTACCTCGGATTGTCACATCATAGACTGAAAATCAGGTGCGGCTGTGTTGACAGTAAGCCACTGTGAAATAGCAGAATGGGGTTGAGCTTGGGAAAATAGGTTGGGGTTTTTGTTCATCACTTTCATGTGCTTTGACAGGCGATGTACGTCTTCAGAGGTCTTCTTGAGGGAAGCTGAGAGACTGCAACTGGCTGCAAGGCAACCACTGCAGAGGGAGAGACACATACTGAGGCGAAACACAAGTACAACAAACCCAAGAAAACCAATGGAGCTGTTTTTGTTCCCCCCCCCCCCCCATGTCTGGAGCCCCTGTGCGCCGCATTAGCATCCGGCACATCCTCTGCCCGCCAGGCAAACAGCTACAGCACGAGTGTGTTTTAAGGAAGAGCAGGCTTCCAAGTGAATATGTAGGGTGACAGAGCAGCAGGCTTCGTAGGCGTATATGTCACTATCCATTCCTGCGTCACTGTGACTGCGTCATCGCTAATATCCGAAAAACTGATTCTGCATTCACCAGGCAGAAACAGTGCAATATTTCCCTCGGAAATGTAGTGTGGAAGTATAAATTAGCATGACAGAAAATAGTATCTAAAAATTATCCCGGGAGTTAGCATGGTAATTTAGCTAAATTTAAAGGGGCTGAATTCGATATTCAGATCATTGACATAGCAGTAAAGACCTCGTGGGGTACCTGAGCAGAGAATGAAGTCACTCTCCCTCTGTGTGTGTTGTAATCCCAGCATCTCTGTGCTTTGTATACAAAGCCAGACCGGCAGCGTGTGCACGTTAATGCACGATCCTGTGAGCGTGGCCCACTGGCTAGCTTGCGGTCGCTGCTCTGCACCGCACCTATACGGCGGTTACAGCTCATAATGCTGTCCCGACTGACGCCTACTTTAGCACCTACTTAAAATTAGTCAAAATCCTTCATTCCCATAATGCAACAGTGTTTTTCACTAGACCCTTCCTGCCATGTAAATGCCCATGTCTTTTAAACTCTATGCCCTTAGTCTCTAAAACAGGCTTGACATTAAAAACATGTGAGCCTCCGAGTCCAAGCCGAGATAACCCCGATGACATCATTATGACATCATCAGGGTTATTTTCTCAGAAGACATTTTTACAACCATTCTTACAGGCTAAGTACTCCCAAAAATCAGTGATTTCACGTGTAAAATATGTCTTATGTACGTGAGTTTGTACTGAGTTACTTTCTACCACTGCAGTAGCCTTTCAGTCACACACACACACACACACACACACACACACACACACACACACACACACAAACAGCCCCCATTAGAAACGTAGCTTCTAAGAACCCAAGTGTGATATCTAATAAGAAGTTTTGCCCACCTCTTTCTCTCCCCTCTTCCTCTTTGATCTCTCCACCTCACTCCTCCGTTCCCCCTCTTCCCGTAAGCCTCAAACTATCCACCCAAATCCACCCTCTCAGTCTCCCTCCGTTCTCTCTCTCTCTCTCTCTCCCCCCCCCCCGCCCCTGCGAGTCTACCAGCACCATGTTATTTAAGTCAAGGACGGCATTAGCATGACGATCACAGCCTTCCATCAAAAGTCTTGTCTGCCAAGGCTGGAGCTGGAGGAGAGAGGCTTCGTTATCGGGGTGGAGGGAGAACGACTAAACACGCCAAATGTAAGGAGAGAGAAAAAGAGAGAGATGGGGAGCCCAAAGGCATATAGAGACAGGATAACACGGCCTATAAGGAATTGAAGATGATTCCTGGCTACGCAAGACAAAGCATACATGTGTCTGCATTAAAGAAAAACATAATCCGTCGGGTTGATCTACACACTTGAAGAATGAACCCTCTCTGTCAATGAGAGACAAAAGCGGGGTTTTTTTTTGCAAGTCTCGAGAGATGGGCCTACAAAGAGACTCTGGAAACGCAGCCTCCAGATCACATGCACAGCTCCGACGTCACCGCACGTAAATCAGACCCGACTGTGTGCATGAATCCCTGCTTGTTATTCCACATCCTGTTATTTATGTTTCACCCCACAGGTAAAAGAAACACATGCAACTCGTTGTCTCCTCATGGAGCACACTCTCACTTACTCTCTCTGTCTCTCTCCCCCTCTCTCTCCACATGCTCTCCATTTACAAACCTATTTATTACAACAGGAAATTAAAATACAGTTAATTGTATCATAAACACACATCTGTGTTACTAAAACCAGATTAATTCTTAATGAAACAGATGCCATCATGGGCCAATTTCTCCCTTCGCCAACGTACCGCGGCCTGCAGTCTTACAGCCACATGGTGAGGCATCACTTTCTCTTTGTTTTTTGCAGACTGTCTTTGGTTTAGCTGAAAGCGACAGCACTTTCTGGAAACAACACACACTCACTCATTGGTTCAAAGATACCCGTGGTGATTAAAGCCTTTAACTCGTTGTCGATAAAACCACCACTGCAGCTCATTTGGCGTTGCAGCACATGAATTTAATTTTTTTGGGGGGGTACTGGCTTCAGACGTCCATGACTCACCTCTAATGGACGCCATGCAGTACTCATGTTTGGTCTGCGTCTACACAGCAGACAGAGGAGGAGAGATGGGGTCTGACATTTAACATGGCTTTCAGTCAAACGAATAATCTTATGGGAGGGAGGGAGGGAGGAGACGCGTGGCCTCAGAAAAGAAAAGAATAAAGAATCCAGCTGCATTTGAAATGTGCTCAGGCGTTTCATGGCCCGTCAAACCTGGCTGTGATTTGCGATGCACGGGAGACGCACTGTCTTATTTCCTGGGCGATGCGTGCACATGTGGACACCTGTGCATGTATGTGTACAAGGTCTGGGCATGCATCAAACACACACACACACACACACACACACACACACACACACACACACACA